ACCCAGACATCCATCCATCCATCCTTCCACTCATCCATCCATCCATCTTTCCACTCATCCATCCATCCATCCATCCGTCCATCCATCCATCCAGACATCCATCCATCCATCCATCCACCCAGCCATCCATCCATCCATCCTTCCACTCATCCATCCATCCATCCTTCCATCCATCCATCCATCCATCCAGACATCCATCCACTCATCCATCCATTTGTCCATCCATCCACCCACCCTCCTACCCATCCATCCATCTACCCATCCCTCCACTCGCCCACTCACCTATCCCTCCATTTATCCATCCAAACTCCTGTTCAATTATCCTCCCTCCCTTCCATCCCCCTTTCTTCTCTCAGTGGCTGAAGTGAGCATCCTCACTTGTTTTGGTCCACCTCTTTCGTTGGTGACCTTCAGGCTTCAGCAGAGCCGATGGGGTCTCCACAGCTGACAGCACGACACCCATTGAGTCCTGCCTGCTGTCGTTCCCTTCCCGCTAGCTGGGTCAGATGACCTCCCTAGGTGGCTCCTCTCGCAGCTTCCCCATGAGCCTGACTCACGAAACTGGCCGGGATGGTCAGATCTGGCCCTCTGCAGCCGATGTGAACTCCACAAGGAGGGGCAGAGGAAAGAAATGGTGCTGAGCTGACATGCTCTGGGGAGCCCTTGGCGGAGCCTTCCGTGGTTCAGCGTGGCTCTGTGGAGACACTGCTGGGAGGGCAAGGTGAGGCAGGCCTGTGTGAGGGAGAGACAGTCTGAGGCCAGACCACCACCCACCCCTCTCCTCTTTTTGTCCCCCATCCTCATGGAACTCTGGTCCTGAGCACTTACAAAATATTTTCTCTAAATACATCTGTTGGAGGAAATTTGGAAAACACAAGAAAAAACATTGCAAAGCCGGTAAGAACTAGCCTTGACCCTACCATGCTAAGCACTGCTGATATTTTGGTATGCTCCTTAGTGTTTTATATTTCAAAATAAAATGAGGATGTGCTGTACATGCATCTTATCCTGAACCCCTGCATCTCCCGCTCCCGCCTAGCACCCTCCCCACACCACGTCACATGCCAGGTCCTGACAGGTGCCCGGTCATTTCTCTCCAAATTGACAGCTGGCCTTTGTCACGTAGGTGGGACTCTTGGCCCTTCCTTGCACCCCTCCCCATGAATTCTCACACACAGTTCAGTATCTGGCTAAATTATCGCCTCATGGGGGTGGCCTGTGGCCAGCAGGCAGGTGGCCTGTCACACTTTTGCACCTGGGATCAAATGTGCTGTGGCCACGGATGATGTGGAGGCAGAGGGAAGATCTGAGGACAGGCGCCTCTGTGGCCCAGCAGGAGTGGGGGCCCAGCCCTGGCAGGTGGTGAGCCCCACCTGGGCACATGCTGGCTGAGGCGTGGACCCCTTCTCTGGGACCCATGTGGCCAGAACCCTGGAACAGATTTTGCAGGAACCCAGGTTCCGGATCCATTAAGACAGAGCCCTTCCCTGTAGCCATTCCAGGACTCTGTGACGTGGCCACCTGGCCACAGGGCAGGCCGGAAAGGACCATCTCTCCTTTGGGGTGTCAGGTGGGTGCCAGCCATCAGCATGGGTAACTGCCAGAATCGGACATCTCAGGGGTGTCAGGTGTGGGTTTGATGGTCTTCCCTGCCCAGCCCAGTGTGGGTTGGCTCCAGACACGGTCCAGAGACCCAGCCGTTGCCTTGGGGGGGCTGTCCTGGTCAGCCCGGGCACCATAACAGACCACCACAGACCAGGCAGGGTAAACAACATTCGCGTCTTGTAGCTCTGGGGGCTACAAGTCTCAGATCAGGGCACAGGCAGGGTCATTTCCTGCTGAGGCCCTGCTTCCTGGCCTGGCCTCACAGGGTGGACAGAGTTCTGGGGTGTCTCCCTCTCCTTAGAAGGGCACTAATGCCATCAGCTCCCCCTCCTGCAACCTCATTGAACCCTAACCCCCTCCCAAAGGCCCTGCATTCTAACACCATCACAGGAGGGGTCTGGCAGGGGACACAGACATTCAGCCCACACCAGGGCTCTCCTGTCCATCCCTCGGCAGCAGGAACCCACAGGCAAGGTGGCTAGGGGCCAGGCCAGCAGTGGCCCGGCAATCAGTCCATGTGCCGGGTCTCAGAGCCTTGCCCCCCCCCACCCCCAACTGCTGGGCAGGTGGAAGACGTGTCCAAC